TCCTTCCCACGTGATGCACGCGGCGTTACTCGAGTCCGACAGGAGCTCGAGCAGAAACTGCCACAGCTGAATCTGACCAGAACCGGAGCTCGCGAGCCGACTGCTCGTCGCTCCGAACATTTGGTAGGGATCTGCGAGGTGACAACTGACGTTCAGCGACTCCGCGTAAGAATGTCGCGTTGAAATTAGGCTAGGCTGATCGACGCAAGCTGCACGTTTCACTCTCGGCTTCGACGTCGGAGCTGTTGTGAGCGCGAGTATTTCGCAAAGTATCGCAAAAGAGTATCAGGAAAGATATTAATTCATTGCGCGTTGGGATAACCAACGGCTGCCAGACGTCGCGTCTTCGCCAACCAAATGTGCGCGATGTTCGCGTCACAAACCTAATTAAATTTTATTGTCGTATTGCGAGATTGTATAAAGCAGATGTGAAACTCTCTCTCTTTCTCTCTCTCTCTCTCTCTCTCTCTCTCTCTCTCTCTCTCTTTCTCGTGAAACGTGCACTCTTTTTCGTTGATATTCCGAATATTGACTCAAATGGATACATCCGGCCTGATGACGAGTCCGTCGGACAACGCAAGGATTTGATGTAAATTATAATTTAATTAAATCAATCATCTCTCGCTCATTCGGCTTGGAGTCGAAGCAATGTCGTCGTAAATAACATTAGCAACATTCAAGCACGGTGATTGAAGCCGATAGATACAACGAAAGGGGCCGGGCGATGAACGGTACAGATTTGAGCGCAGAATTCCGCTGCAAACTTACACGGCGAGTGTAACGACGTCAAATGCGCGATAATGCCGAATCTGATCACTATTGTGATTCGCCCTTGTCGCGGGGCCGACTAGCAACCCCCCTCGCCAGATACTGGCAGCTCTCGTTAAATCGCACGAGAGAGAGAGAGATAGAGAGAGAGAGAGAGAGAGAGAGAGAGAGAGAGAGAGAGAAAGAGAGAGAGAGAGAGGGAGAGAGAGAGAGCAGTCACGGCGAGACGATTCCGCCGGATAAACGACCGAGAGGCTTGGATATTTCCATCCGCGACTCGCGCTCGCTTTTCGATGAATTTTTCACAGTTTCGCGTGGGATATACCCCTATCCATTACACAGTTGTTTTCCAAGGACCCCCCGTATCGCCCTTTAAATGCTTTACAATGCGTCATCACCGACGCTCGCCGCCGCTCAGACGTGGAGAGCCCTACAGCCGTACAAAAGAACATAATCGCAACCCCACAATAGAATAGAATTCATTTGGATCATAATAATTTCAATTTGAGAAACTGCCGACACGGAGTGGCTCAAAGGGTGAAACGAGTGTCTTCTGAGCCTTCGGAGCTTCGGTCGAGGAGCCCGATGTATGGATTTTTATTGTTGCGATGCGAAAGAGAGAGGGAGAGAGAGAGAGAGAGAGAGAGAGAGAGAAAGAGGCAGGGAGAGACCGAGAAATCACGGCCCGAGCATTAATGAAGCCAATAATCGCCGGCCTCTGTAAATCAACGGGCAGCAAGTATGAATTCTCGGGAATGTCGAAAGTTGAAAATTCCGGATTGACAATGGAGCCAATTAATGCGCGCTGTGTTACCTCGCAATCTTTTGCAACGGAGGAAAAGAAATGTGACGGAGCGGCGTAACGAGGAAAGATGCCGGCCGGCATAGTCGCGATTTAATGACTTTCACGGTCTGAAAGAACGAAGAGCGGAGACCCCGACGCGAGAGAGGAACTTGAAGACGGACCCCCCGTAAAAATACAAGCCGAGCGATTATGGGACAGAGATGGGGGACAGACGCGGATGATGGGGACGGATTCGGAATTGCCGGACCTCAAAGGTCGTTTCGCCCGATGAATCTGCTGAATGCGTGCCGGAGTGATCGCCTTTCGATCGAACGGTAATTCACTTACAAGTTAATAATGGGAAGGGGCGCGGTACACCCATTTATCTGGCCGGGAACGAGGGGGAGTAGCGACGGCGGGCGAAATACTGGGATGCGACTACGCCCGAGGATTCTCGAGGCTCTTTTCTCGAGTCACGGCTCGAGACTTTCGAGGAATCGATGATGCGCGCGAGAACGCGCGAGCGCGCGCGCGCGCGCGCGGAGGGAGGTAACAGTGACCTTGTTCGACTATCGCGTAGGTGAACCCCTTTTCACCTTGCTCCCGTATTCCCGGATTTACACCGGATCGACTCCGCTGAGAGCGGTGAGAACTCCTTCGTTCGGGTAACCTAATTTTTTTCGCGATTTCTCCTTTGCCCTTTTACTTTTACTCTCTCTCTCTCTCTCTCTCTCTCTCTCTCTCTGCCCCGCGCGCAACTCGACAGCTCGGCTGAAACGCGCTCTCGACAGTACGACTCGCGCGCGTTCCGACCGCGATTTGCTTTGGACTCTGCTCTGATGACAAAAGAATGCTTTAGCTTCTCAAAAATATCTACCTACTACATACCAGGCTGCCTGAGATGGCTGTGCGTGTCCAGTGCCGACTTCGATAAGCTGCTTCCATACCCTGAAACAAGATATTTCGCATTCGCGCGTTATGATCCACTGTGCAGGAGGAAATTGACGAGAGATCGGCGAATACGTGTATCGTATTTGCCTGCGCCTTATCAATCTCGTATTCGTCGACTTTGTACAACGATGAATGCTCTGATCGCGTTGCAAAATCGCTAAGTACTCTGCTACATCGGAAATTTTCTTGAGAAAGAAGAGAGAGAGAGAGAGAAAGAGAGAGAAAGAGAGAGAGGTTTCGATTTTCGAGCGTCGTGTAAGCCGGTAGTCGGTCAAGTCGGTCGAGAAAATCCCGAGATCGCGCGCAGGAGAGGCGCCGGAAAGTCATCGGTCCGCCGAAGATGAAAAAGCGCAAACTCAAGCTCGGTCGAGCGTTAGAATCCGTTAGAGAGGATTTCCGTGTAGGCAAACACGGGGCTGAGAGTGCCTACGTGTATGTTTCTCTCTCTCTCTCTCTCTCTCTCTCTCTCTCTCTCTCTCTCTCTCTCTCTCTCGGTCTCTGTCTCCGCCTGCCCGTCATAGGCCTCCTCTCTCCGTCTTATCGCACACGGATTCCCTCTTCGTGCGTGCGTCTCTCGCCCGAGGCCCACGCCCGACGGTCACGTCCACACACGGATGTGCAATCTGTTTAAGGCACAATGCCCCTTAATTTCGGCTCGTTATACGCTCTCTCTCTCTCTCTCTCTCTCTCTCTCTCTCTCTCTCTCTCTCGCAGACTCGACGCCTCTACGAAGGTCAGTCGCAGCTCGGCACCTCGTCACCCGAAAACCGACTGGATCGCGCGCGAATTCGTAATCACTTCCAAATTGGCTCATCGCGTCTCGACACTGTCGATTAGCGTCGCAAACGCGTAAAGCCACGCCAAAGCACGTCGCGATAGCCGTACCGTGGTCGTTCTGAAATATTCCGTGGAGCATAGAAAGAGCAGAGAAGGAGGAGGGAGTCGCGATGCGTGTCGATAATGACTTTGCGAGCCTCAAACGAGCGTATACGAGCTCCCCCGTGGCGACGACATTTTCACGACTTTTTGCTTCTGCGATACAACGCCGCCGTGTCGTCGTCGGAATGTGTGTAGCGCAGCGAGCCGCCCTCCCATGGGGCAGATGCTACCTTTAAATAGCAGTTGGTGTCCGCTGTGTTAAACAATCTGATTTCGCTTCTGATTGGGAAGCGGGCACAGCCTTGGACGGAGGGTCCGGGGACGGGTTCCTGGGTCTCCGCGGGTCGCGTAGGGTCCGCCGCAATCAGTATAGCCGCGGGGTTTTCAGCCGCACGCTCATCCTCCGACGCAAACTCCGTACGGGGTGTCATCACCGAAACAATGGCTCGATCGCGCGCATTTGCAGCGTGGCATTATTCTCTAAATTTTTCTCAGGACGAAATCACATCCAAAGCCAAAGTTGAAATTCGCTCCGGATGACAGCGAAGAAAAGCGAAGTCGCAGGAGTGTGAGGATGTTTAACTCCAGCTTAATTCGCACGGCTGAATGTTTCAGTCGATTACAGAGGATTTGCTGCAGCGAAAAGAGAGAGAGAGAGAGAGAGAGAGAGAGAGAGAGAGAAAGAGCGACAGAGAGTTTTGATCCTCTTCGATTTCGAATGAAAATATTCGCTCGACGATTCAGACTGGAAGAATTCGCTCTGTGCGAGCGAAAGATCAGTCGGCTGCCATTCGCGCATGGGGTGGCACTTTGCGCGCGCGAGCTGAGTAACCTCTGCATCCAACGGAGGTGAGATTAAGCTCAGAAAAATCCAGGTTTAAATCCATATCGATTTTTGCACATGTCAAGATATTAATATATGCGAGAAAACTCGAGCAGCCGTGAGCCGTCTCGATGAAGAAGAAGTAGAAGCAGAAGAAGAAGAAGAAGAAGAAGAAGAAGAAGAAGAAGAAGAAGAAGAGGAAGAAGAAAAAGAAGAAAAAGGCTCGACCGTCACCCACTCTTCGTCACCCACTTTGCTTGAGTAAATTCAGAAAATACTCTCAATATGATATTTTATTCGCCATAAAAATGTTATTGAAATCAGTGGCGAGCGGAAAAATTCGGAAAGCAGCTGGATAGATGCAGCGTTAGACGACCTCTTTCTCATCGTTGGGGTCGTAATCCTTGTCGTCAACGAGAATCGGGGCGGATGGACTTTTCCTTTAAATATTGTTCTTACAGATCCACCCTGCGTGCCCCGCGTGCGGTGATTCGTCGCGTCACCTCGAATCGATGTGCACGAGCTATTGTCGCGCGTATATCTGTGCATTCACGAGCAATTACTCGGGGCGGGGTAATCCCGTTAGACGGCGTGTAGCTTCCTCGCGAGGGAGGATCAAAGAACCCGTCATTCCGTGCTGCTGCACTCTTTGGTAGCCCCGGACGCGCACAATGCCGATTCGCCGGCGTCGTGACGCCGAAAAGAAAGGGGGATCCGCGTCCCGCGACTCCGTAGAAACTTTGGGCTGCATTCCAACAAAACAGCGAAGCGCGACCGAGGAAGGACGACGAGGAGGTCCTCGCCCGTTTCTATCGTATCGGGTTATCGTTCCGCCACGCTAATCCCGAGATGTCGCTGACCGAGGACGCCGCCGCGTCGGGATCGCGTCCAAATCGCCAGGAGATTTTTCAACTACCGTCTCTTATCGACACGACCGAGGATTACTCGGAAGTTTTGCCGGCTCCCGCCCCTCCCCCCTCCTCCGTCGCTTATTCCAATACTTTGAAATTGGGACGAGAGACGCGATATTTTCCAAGGTACCAGTAGATCTTCCCAAAATTACAGTGAATATCATTTTGAATATCATTTTCAGCCACGCTTTGTGGACGCTTTGTGGTAAAAAATTATGATTGATTTCCCGCTAAAGCTAGTCCCTTTTACGTTGTTCTGATAAGAAAAAAGGTAGTAACGGAGTGTGCGTGTACAAAGTTAAAGCGTTACGGTTACCGCAAAAATGGATCCCGGCTGTATAATTGCTTCCCCACGGAATTCTAGTCATAATTATACCCAACCTCTCCCTCAGCAGAATCCGGCCCCCCCCTCCCCCAGATTCGTGTCCGGAGTAGCGCCACCCGCCGATCTCGTTCACGCTCGGCGATAAGTCGATTCATCATCGGCCGAGCTGTAGTTTCAGGCGGCTTCACCGATTCGCGCACTACTACTGTCTCGGCTGTCGGACTTATTTCAAACATAAATCACTGCGCCCGTGCGAGAGCACGCCGCGCGGCGCGTAATAATGAGCAAGCAAGCGTAGCGTGTCAACCCTTGAGCGTAGCGGGCGAAACGGGTCGCTCTTACGGGCGACGTTGCGCGGTTCAGAGAGAGAGAGAGAGAGAGAGAGAGAGGAAGATGCAGAGAGAGAAAGAGAGAGAAGAAGGGCTCGTACCTGCGAGCGGACGCAGAAGGGGTGAAGATCAGGCTGGTGTTATTTTTCGTGTTCGCCGCCGACGATCCGCCTCGTCGCGCGCGTCCCCGTGGAAACGCGGCGTGAAATGCGAAGGTGTTTTCACGCTCGTCTCCCGTGCGTCTCGTGCACGGTGTAAAAAAAGAAAGAAGAGAGAGAAATTTGGAAGCGTGCGTCGTCGGTTGAATCTCGACAGCTGATTCGAACTTGAGCTAAACGAGAGCTGATCGTTCCGCCACCGTCATTGCCGAGAGTCGGCTGTCACGGGCAAAATTCGCGCGTGTTCGTCCGGCTCGACCGGGCGGTTTTCGCGCGGCAATTAAGAGTCCGATGATTGCACGTAATCTTCCTATAAACGCGATCGCCGTCGCCTTCGCGCTCGTGCGAAAAATTGTAATCCATATCGCGCGACCATTCGTGACATCGTATGTAACGTACTAAAGTTTCCGTGTGGTACCTCCAGCACTCTACGTACCTACATAGTGCTCCGCATTAACTAACCGTCCGGTAAATTGCCTTCTAAAAAGCGGAAGTTGCAGTTGTTGAATGAGGGTCCCTCGAGAAGTTGGACGTGATGGCGCTTCGTGAGGCGGTCCGACGGAGGTAACATGTTTTTGTTCGTCAGATAAGAGCAAGCGTAGCAAAAGTTATTTGTAAGAGCGAGCTGCGTAGCGCGGAAGAAAATTAATCGTTTCCTAATTATCGCATAGCGTGAATAGCGACCCGGCGCGGCGGGAAAAAAGATTCTTGTCTTTGAGCCGAGGTCTCCGCACGACACGCCGCGCCGCCACGTTCGTTCGTTCGGCCGACTCGGCAACTATTGTTCAGAGGCTAATCATTTTTCGCGCTATCCACGCGATCTGACCGCCGCGGTTTCACTCGCGAACAGCGAAAGAGGCGGTAAAATTCCGGCGCTCTTATCGGTTCTTCGGAAACGGAAGGTTTCGCGGGAAAAATTTCGCGAAGAGTGTATATCGCGCAACGACAGAGGGCGATTTCGCGATGTTAATCTTCCCGCTATCGAAAAGGCGCTGTGTGTGTACCGAGAGAAAAAGAGTGATTAATCTAGAGATGGTAATCGAGACTGCCATTTTTCTCTCTAGTGATTAATCGGATTTATATTCGCTTTCAGCGTCAACCGCGTATCTTTCCAGTTGATCCAGCGAAAAGCCAACGGCAGCAATGTGCGCAGATTGTCGTTGACGTTGCAGCGACAATTGTTGTAAAACCGGGAGGGTTTCCCCCCCCCCCTCCCCGGCTATAGCGACAGATATCAATTATTATTATTTCCTTTTAATACAGCCGAAATCGTATACGAAATTTCTCACCAAACTCGAGAAACGTCCCGCGAGAGCATCCCGCGAACGCAAAGGGACAGAGTAATATTGACGTTTCGCGTCCGAGATTATTGCGTTACGAGAATCTCGAGTCGCGTTTCTTCGACTCGAAGTCGGCTACTTTTTCCGCGCGCGTGCGAATGCGTGGACGCTCGACTGTGCACAGTTAAAGTGGAAACGCAATCCCTGCACCCCAACAAGAAATCAAGAATGAATGGCAGCCGATATGGGGGGAGAGTACGAGCATGGGCAGCCATGCGTGAACGTGTCACGC